AAATAGTGCCCCAAGGGCCAGATAAAAGGAAGCAAAGGGCTGCATCTGGCCCCTGGCCGCAGTTTGGAGACCACTGATATAGATCATTGTGTGCAAGTCAGCAATTCCTAAATAAGTCAAACATCCCAGGACCTAAATATTTCCACCGCCATATATGACTGTAGGTTTTATGCACTGTTGCTTTGACTTCTCATATGGCCAGTTCCTCTCATAGTCTCTCCAATTACAATTGTGAGCTTCAACTAATCTGGTCCAGATTTTATTCCAGTCAGCAGTGACATTTCGGCTTTTTCTTAGTCTAAACATTTGCAATTGTTTATCTTGTCAAAGAGTTGATTTGAAGAGTGTTAGGCCTCACACGAGCGGTTGTTCTGCCACTTGTAAATGTATATTTTTTTTATTTTGAAATTCCAACACTCCTGGCACAGAGGTCCCTCGCGTTTGTACATTGTGTTTCATATGTGATTACATGTGGTTATATGCGTTTACATGCGGCTGCATTTAGCTGCGGTAGTAAATTCTTGCCTTTTCTATAGCAACTGTTTACTTATTTTTTCTATGTACTGCGATTACCTGCGTTTATGTACAGATAGCTGCGGTACATCGCTCTTGGACGCTGTCCAAACGCATAAAACCGTATGTTATGTAAATGTTGCTACACAGTGTATGAATGGAGCTTTAGGGATTCATTGTCTGCATTTAGCTGTGGTAAAGTTCCTCTAACTGCAGCTAAAAGCTGGAATCTAACGTCTCGTGTGAAAGAGGCCTTATATTCCCTTCAAGGTTACAGTTTGCTGATTGAGTTTTGACTGTTCTTCAATCAGCTGGCTTTGAATATCAGATGCAGATGCTGTATGTACTTGTTTAAACCTAATATAAAGGTCTTCAGTTGCTTTGGTCATTTTTAGGTCTGCTTGGTCTAATTTTATAAAAATGACTTCATGAAAATTTCACCACTCCAGAATGCATAGTAGTGATCCCTTCGAAAGTGTCAATTTAGAAGCCATTTGACACCAAGTTAGTTTTTATTGAACTCAGGAAAACAGTTTTTGGCCTCACAAAACTCATCGGACATTCCTGCAAACAGCTGGAAATATTTTTTTTTAGCATTTTCAACGTTTTTTAGCAGTCATGATAGCCAAACTGTTTTATTTCAGTAACTTTCTAGTAGTAATTCCTAAAAGTCATTTCAACCATTTAAAAGACACATATGCGTCCACACCTGAAATAGTGGTGTCACTAGACCCTGGCACCCAAAGCACGTGCCCTAGTTCTTCCTTGGCATCGTTGCCACAGCTTTGTGACTGTTGCCTGATTTACTGTCTTAAACACACCTACACCTGAACACCATCCCAGTGATGTTTCTTGCATAGGATGAGGCAGGGTTTGTTGCCCACTCCCAGGTTCTATGGGAGGGCAACTACTGTACCTTCTAGGTTATGTCAAGAAGCGAAGGGTACCCAGAGAGAGAATATAGCCATTTAACTGTGCCCTGAGGTAGGTAATCAATGAAAACAGGAAAATTATTGTAAACACAAAGCAAAATGTCTGCTACTTCTTTTTGTATTGTAGCTTATTGGTATGCCAAGTCACAAGTGTTACTAAACCCACAACAGTAAAATCAGTCTGTATATGCAGTAAAGCATGCTTGTTATACTCACTGCGGAACCTAAGAGGTTAATCCTCTGCATTGTGTAAAAAAGCTGTTTGATGTCATCTTCTCTGATCCTCCCCTTCTTCCACTGTCCCCAATCCTTCTGTTGATAGAACATAGCCTTGGGGGCAAGCTGCACATGCTCAATTTGGTGTGTATTGCTAGAGAGTTTTTTTTTCCTGGGAGCGTTCATGTGATCAGCACAGGGCCAATCAGCACTGTCCAGACAGAGGTCAGGGGTTCTGCATCCTCCCAGAGCCGGATGAAAACCCCTCCTACAAGCTTTAACCAGTGCTCTGCTGGACACTGATAGTAGTCACAAGCCTGCTCTAACTGAGTAAAGGTATTTAGCAGTTTATATTTACTAAAATGATTGCACTTCCATGTTCTGTGTACTGTGGGAGACCAGATATAGTGAATGCAGGGTCCTGGGTTTAGTATCACTTTACATCCAGGAGGGATGCATGACATCTCCTGGGCGTATCTCTGTTATTTACATCTGACAGTTTTATTGCACTACCGAGAAGATGACTATTGCTGTATTTCCAAGAGCCCTACACTGATTCTTCAGGTCTCATCATTTTTCCACATTAGAGTCCTACTTTCCAATCACAGAAGCCTTTGTATTATGTGAACTCATACACAAAATACAAAGGCTTCTCTGAATGGGCGGCAGAGCAGAGGGCTAGGCATAGCTGCTCTGTGTGCCTCTCTCCCCTCTCTCACAGTCCTGAGTGTAAGTGTATACTCCAGCAGAGCCATACACCTGTCTGATACTGTATAAATAATAGAAATAAATTCATGCACCTCCTTGGAATTAATTAGTGTGCCTGCACTTTTTACAAAGTGGTTGCATTCCTCGGCCAGGGGTTATACAGCCTCATAGGACAATCAGAGGAGAATGAAAACTCCTCCTACAAGCTTTAACCAGTGATCTGCTAAACACTGATAGATGTCACAAGACAGCTCTAACTGCTGATGAAAAAAGGTATTTAGCAGTTTGTATTTCCTAAAATAATTTCATTTCCATGTTCTGTGTACTGTGGGAGATCAGGTATAGTAAATGCAGTGTAACACTTTAAAGATTGAGTGGCTAGGCATACCAATATAGGTTGTAACTGCGTGGGGTAAAATAAAGACAAACCTGCTTCAGGTTTATTTCTAACTTACGTGTTTTTTATATACAAATCCTCTATGCCTGTCTCCTCAGCTTATTAAGTGACCTAATACTGGCAGCATTTTCCAGGATGGAGAAAGGTAAATGCACACTGCATACCAGCCACACTCTTAAAGTTTCTAACGATATTGCATGAGCATTAATGAGTGATGACAAGCAATTTCAAAGCAGTATGTTGCATTTGACAAGCATTTTGTGTGTCCTGTGAAATTGCTTAAAGAGCATCTTTCAAGCATTGCCATAGACTACAATAGGAGGTAAAATTGGTCTGAAAATGCTGCATACATGATGTTTTCAGGTTCATCAACTCTTGTGTTCATATAACACCCAAGACATTTTCAAGCATTGGAAAAAACAGGAAATGAATTGGAAACACTTTTAATGTACAAAATGCCTATGGCTGTATAGTCAGGAATTTCTGTAGACAAGGGATAGCTGCAACATGCATGCCTTATAAAACCACATCCATGAATTCATCACACCCACTACAAAGTTCATAAATGCAGCAGGTCTTTGAAGACCCTAGAATGGAGACTGATATACTAAAGGAGTTGGGAATCTTCACATAATAAATTGTGCGGAGATGAAAATTGTGTGCAGATGAAATAGGTAAACAGTAAACTATTCCTTTTGTAAATTAGCATCAGTGCTTCTGATTTAGATCTTGTGCTCTGGAAGATTTTCTCCCTTTCATGACCAGGCCACTTTTTGCTATTCCGCACTGCACTACTTTAACAGGTAACTAGGTGGTCATGCAACCCTGTACCCAAACTAAATTTATATCATTTTTTTTTCACACAAGACCAAAATTTTACTTTCTGCTATAAATCATCCAATAAAAAACCAATTTAAAAGATCACATTTCTTCATACATTTTGGACAAAATATATTCTGCTATGTGTCTTTGGTAAAAAAAAAAAAGGGTATATTGATTGGTCTGTGTGATAGTTATAGCACCTACAAACTATGGTGTATATACTGGAATATTTTTTTATATATACTACTTATGGCAGTGATCAGTGACTTATAATAGGGCTGTGATAGTGAGCAGGGCAATCTGACACTCACTGATGCTGGGGGGAACTGACTAACTGCCACTGACATCACCACTGAACCACTGACATTAATACAGTGATCAGTGATAATAATGTTCACTGTACTAATGACACTGGCTGGGAAGGGGGTAACATCTGGGGGGGGCAATCAAGAGGTTAAATGTGTGCCTAACTATGTTTAATGTGTGTAAAGTGTGCTGATTTTACTAATAGATCTCTAAGTTTCTTCATCCCTGCTTTGTAGGGATGAGAAACACAGGGATCCAGGGGCGGACCGACAACTCATGGGGCCCTCGAGCAATAGGGGATCATGGGTCCCCTGTGTCCTCGCCCACAACCAAAAAAGCCTATGAAAAAGCCAATAAAAGGTACCAGGGGCATCTCATGGGGCCCCCCAACTGACCCTGGGCCCTCGGGCAGTGCCCGAGTGCTGGAATGGTCAGTCCGCCCCTGCAGGGATCATTCCCTCTGTACAGAGCTGTGTTGATTGTCAACACAGGGCTCTGAGCTGTGATTGTACACAGGCAATCAGCAGATTCTGGCCGTGAATCTTTGGCCGGGACATGCTGACAGACTCCTGATGTGTACAGCCAGGGGGCGTACTTTGCCTACGGCAGCTGCCCATCCACACAGTACATTGCGGATGGGCAGTCATTAAGAGGTTAATTGATGTGCCTTTACCAAAAGTTGAAACAACGCTGCTAAACTTCAAAATAACAAACTTTAAAAAACTAAGTTAAAAAATGTATTTTTAAAAAAGGCGTTAACTGAGTTAAAAAAAAATACTAAAGTATTAATAGAAATAAAATCCTTTCTACAAAACAGTCCCAATTTCCCACTTACCACACCCCCTTATTGTTAGCAAAATGTCCTACTAACCTGTTGCCTCAGTTGCCAGTTTGACTTCAAAGTGAATTTAGTGTCCTAGGTTCATGTAAATTTGGTGTCAAGGAAAGATAATATAGGCATTTCATTTTATATACACATGTTTAGAATATACCTATATGGTCCACATCTTACCATTTTCATTTTCATTTTTTTTTCTTCTTCATTTTACTGAGTTTCTTAGTAAAAGCAAAACAAATCAAATCAAATAAACATGTTCTTCCTTTAGGTTTGGCATGAATCATGATGGCATTGGTAATGGCTGTGGATCTCGAGGTCAAGAGACAGCCAAGCTTATGGCAGCTCACATTACTATGAAGACCAATCCATTGTGTGTGGTCAGCTTGTAGCAGGGACTACATCACAAGCTTCCTGGAGTAGGTCACCTGAAATACTTTTTAAACAGTTCAACATTGTTTAATCTACTTTTTGTTCCTTGTCCTACAAAGGGAAAAGTGATCCTTGCAAAGTGCATGCTCTTTCTTTGAATGCTTAGGGGGCAATGTAGGTACATGAGTAAAAAAACTAGTTAATAACTATAAGACAAGATTTAAATAAGTATAAGAATAGGTTCAACTTAGGATGAATAATTAAGCTGCTGCATCCCCCACTGCAATTTCATAATCAATAAAAGTATTTTAAAAGACTGTATGACTACTAATAGTATCAACAAGATAAAACTGATACAGCTCAAATGCCTCAATCTGTTATCCCAGCCGACTGGTCTCAATGTTTGCAGGTGCTGGTCGGGTTAAAAACTGGCTCGTATGAGGGCTACAACAAAATGGCAACTGTCTGCACACTGCCTCGGGAAATGTGTGAAAAAATGGCTTCAACTTGGACTCCTACCCATGTGAGACTCCTCTAACATGTTTTGCTCAGTAGGGGCTTAACCATAGAGGCCTTTATGATTAAGCCTCTACTGGGTGAAACATGTTGGAGGGGCTTATCCCATGGGCAGGAGACCAAAGTGAAGCCAATTTTTACTAAGAGGAGATCAATATATGCCAATATGTGCAGATGGGTGCCAGTGTCAACAGTTGCAATTACTTGGGAAATACATGTAAAAACTTTTTTCCTGGGGCATTCTTTTGATTTCCTTTGTGAATTGAGGTAGGATGTTTATTTATACTACTGTGCAGGAAATTTGTCCACAGCAGCCTAGGTAGTTGTTTTTGCCTTTGGTTTGACCTTAACTACTACAGTCTATGAGATGCTTATGAATATTGATTATGGATTAAACCCAAAACCAAAACTATTCATCCTTAGAGGTGGTGGCTGCATCAGTTTTCTTTTTCTAGGCTTTTTTTCTCCTCTGTTTTCACCAGGTGATCTGGTCAGTAACACACCTCTTGTAATAGAGTGCCTTCACTCTGGATGAAGGAGCACAGGGGCACTTTTGAGCAGTAGCATTGTCAGTCTGGGGGAGGGGAATGTTAGATGGACTAGCAGATTTAGATACTCTAACAAATTAAAGACAAACTCCAGTAACACTTCATAAACAGTTACAGCATGCTGTTTTTTCTTCCTTTGGGGATAAAGATTTTATGTAAAGAAAAGCTGACCAATGTAAGCAACCCTGCAAGCGTTAAATGGTTTGTTTCCTTTCTGTAACTGATACATTCTACTGGAGAGTTTGTTCTTTTGAAAAACAACAGACCAACAGGCTGGATCACCAGATGAAAATAGAATAAAGAAAGCCTAAAAAATATAATTATTGCAGCCATCACATCTAAGAATTAGTGAGGTGAACTATAATGTTTGCTTTTGAGTTTAATGCCACTTTAATTATGTTTCCTGTCAGAAAAAAAAGATTGCTTTGCCCTCAACCCTCATTCAAGACAGACACTTATCAGCAGTGTTTCCAGGTTCGGGCACCTGGGCATCTTCTAGCACATGGCCCTAGTTTCAGGCCTGTGTAAAATAAAGCCTGTTTTGCAACAAATTAAGTAAGAAAGCAGGTGGTAGAGTGGGTGGGAACATTCTTCCCACCACCAAGACACAATGCAATACAGTTCTGGCTGTTAGGTCACAAAGTGTGCTTTAACAAAAAAAAAAAAGATTTGTAGCATATCGTATTTTACGGGCTTACTCTGGCAATGCAAAAAGCAGCCATGACTTGCAAGGTACAGTTAAAGGTGATTTCTGGTCACTGATATGGAAAACACATTTATTAGAAGAGTATAGTTAGTAAGAGGTATGACCAAGAGGTATGACTCTCAATGCTAGGATATTTTCTCCCAAAAAGATGTTCTTCAGTTTTGCGAAAAGCCTTAAACTGTGGCAAATTAACATCCACGTAACAGTGTACTAAATGTTATGCTGGGCAGCAAATTTGTTAATTAACCTGGTGTAGTCCATGGTTATACTATTTGGAATAGCATTGTTCTAAATGTTGGGTAGATATATTGTGACATTGAATTTTCTTCTGTCATGAGCCAGCACAAATACTGGGGAAATTTCCAACCAATCAACTCTTTCAATGAGTCTGTGAAGTTAAAGTACATCCCAACAATTCCTGATAAATTAACTACAGTCATGGCCAAAAATATTGGCACCTCTGGATTTCTGTCAGATAATGCACCACTTTGCCAAGAAAATTGTTACAGTTACAAATGTTTAGGCAGTCTCATGTTTATTTCTTTTGTTTGTATTGGTATGACACAAAAAAGTGGAGAAACAAAAAAGCCAAATCTAACACATTCCACGCAAAACCCTAAGAATGGACTGGACAAAATTATTCACACCTTCTCAAAATTGTAAAAAAATAATTGCATTCTAAGTTTGTGATGCTCCTGTAATTTGTATTTAAACTCACCTGTATCAATTAACAGGTGCTGACAACATAGAAATCACACCGGCAACCAGTTAAAATGGTAAAAAAACTGACTCAACCTTTCTGTTGTGTGTCTCTGTGTGCCCCATGGAGCATGGAGAAGAAATTGTCTGAGATTTTGAGAACAAAAATTGTGGAAAAGCATGGACAATCTGAAGGTTACAAGTCCATCTCCAGAGATCTTAATGTTCCTGTGTCCATTGTGTACATTGTCAGGAAGTTTACAGCTCATTGCACTGTACCTACCCTCCCTGGACATGGACAAAAGAGAAAAATGGATCAAAGATTGCAACAAAGGATTGTTTGAATGGTAGATAAAGAACCTCGATCACCTTCCAGACAAATTCAAGCTGACCTTCAGGCACAGGGTACAACTGTGTCAGCTTGCACTATATGTCACCATCTGAATGAAAATGGACGCTATGGTTGGAGACCCAGGAGGACCCCACTGCTGACACATAAACATAAAAAAAGCCAGAATGGAGTTTGCTAAAAACATACTCAAGGAAGCCAAAATCTTTTTGGGAGAATGTGCTGTGGACATATGAAACATAATTACAGCTTTTTGGTCCATCATTCCACTGTTTTCAGAAAAAGAAATGAAATGCCTTTAAAGAAAAGAATACAGTCCCTACAGTCAAACATAGTGTAGGTTCACTGATGTTTTGGGGTTGCTTTGCAACAGGCACTGGATGCCTTGACCGTGTGCATGACATTAGGAAAAAGCACACATCAAAAGCACCCAGAAATGGTTTAAGACAAAGCTCTGGAGAGTACTGAGCTGGCCAGTAATGAGTCCAGATCGCAATCCCATAGAACACCCGTGGAGAGATCTCAAAACAGCAGTTGGGAAAAGGAACCCTTCCAATCTGAGAGCTGGACCAGTTGGCAAAAGAAGAGATGTCCACAATTCCAGTAGAGAGATGTAAGAAACTCATTGATGGTTACAGGAAGTGATTGATTTCAGTTATTTTTTTCGAAGGGGAGTCCTACCAAATATTAAATTGAGGGTGCCAGTAATTTTGTCCAGTACATTTTTGGTGTTTTGCATGGAATGTGTCAAATTTGACTTTTTCTTTCTCCAATGTTTTGTGTCATACCAATACAAACAAAGGAAATAAACATGGGAATGCCTAAACATCTGTAATTGCAACAATTTTCTGGACGAAGTGGTACATTGTCTGACAGAAATGCAAGGGTGCCAGTATTTTTGACCATGGCTGTATTTATATTTATTAATAAACAAGTAAGCTTATATGCACACATATACTGATGCAGACTTCCTTTTTTTCTTCTCTTCACAGTTCAGGTCTGGGCCTCTGCCTGAATAATGCGCCCCCACGTCAGGATTTTATTTATCCAACACAAGCTCCAGGACAGGCCTATGATGCAGATGATCAGTGCCGCTTCCAGCATGGAATTAAATCTCGCCAGTGTAAATACGGGGTAGAGTCCCTTCCTATTTTGTCTTGCCAGTTCATGAAAAAGAAATAAGAGAAATAAGGAAATTCTTGGTGTGTGACATAAGACTTAAAGTGGACTTTAAGCTCTGGTTCACACTGAATGCAACTTTGAAATCACGCTACATCAGTTGAAGTATTGTGATTTCAAAGCCACAGGTCTGTGCGATTTCAGGTGCGACTTGGCTGACATCTGTGAGACTTCATGCACACATATCTATGAAAGTCGCATCTGAAATTGCCGAAAATAGTGCAGGAACCATTTTCAAAACCAGTGTGACTCTGATGGTGTAAACCAGGGCTAATTCAAATGTTAATATGTCAGCAATCTTGCCAGGGAAGCATAGATAAAGAGTAATTTAAAGGGTAATGCTAATTTAAATACACTAAATAATTCAAGTGGTTCCAAAGGCTCAATTTTTTTTCTTTAAAATAATAAAAACCACAGTGGTTTGGTACAGTGCAGCCCGATCTTCCTCTTCTCAGGTCCCCCGCCAGCGCATCTAGCCCCTTCTCCCTTGCCGAGCGCCCCAATAGCAGGCTGTTAGCTTTGGGGGCACACATGCATTCTCGCTCCCGAGCTGACTCTGTCTGTCTATGGGACATAAAATAATCTGTATGTGAAAAAATAATCAGAAATAGGATGTAGCAGGTGCCAAACCAATACCCCCCGGCCAAATGACAGGAGCAGACTCGGGGAGAGGAAACCATGCCATTCCCCCTCTTCTTTCTTTCCACTTGGGTCCGCCACTGCTGCATGGGGGGACAGTACGACCATCAGAATATCTCCCCCCACTCACCCCCCTTTTCCCCTGTCAGCAGCATGGGACAGAGACAGAGAGGCACTTGCTGGGATCACCGCCGACTCTGTTCCTTCCCCTGCCTCTTCATTGGCTTCTGCAAAGGATCATCAAGGGAGGCAGAGAGTGGCATCATTGGACATGTAGTCCCGGAAACAGTGGAGCTCATGACATTTAGTGGGGCATGGACAGCTGCAGCAAGGGGAGCAGAGCAGGAGTCTCGGAAAATGGCTGGCAAAAGCAGTGTGACCAAGGAACAGAGTGGAGAGTGGACGTGCCTTGGAGAGTCATTACTGTGCTGAGCGGGATGCCATCAGAGACCAAGCCACTGAAGAAGTCTCTTTGCTGTGCCAGTCTTTGCACCTGAAAATGGAGAGGGACCCATGCTGCCCCAGAACCACCAAAGAGAGAGAGACTGAGCCACTGTCAGTTTACAGTCATGTTGCACTACCGACCAGAGTCACCCACGCAACCAAGAGTGAGCAAATGTCCAGCCAGAGGGATCATTACTGCTCTGTCACTGGATCTGGTGAGAGAGACTGAGGGCCTTGCACTCATTGCTTGCTATCGCTGCTATAGACTGAGCCATTAGGAATTGTCTAACCTGCTATTCCATAGCCCTAATTCTGCCTGCAGGCTTTATTGGTGGCCACAACATGTTCCGACAAGCTGCAATGATTAGCCGGTGAAGACTTGGGGCAGTTACTATTGGGGGCAGTCTTTAGTCCTAAGCCCCTAGCCTGTTTGCTAGTTAAAATGGTACCATACCCCTGTCCATTCATTTGAGTACACTCAAAACCTGTAAAGAGCTGCTATCATTCTAAACACATTCAGAGTTCGTATACACTGTTCATTGTTAACTTCCTAAATGATATATTGATTCTGGCTAATGATATAGAATCGTTCTTCTTTATTTTCTACTTGGGTATAGTTCTTTTACCCTGTTTAGCAGCCTGTGTCCTAGCATGCCTGCTGTGTGTTCAGTTCTGTTTAAACTGCCATTTATGTTAATCGATTAATAGATTGTGTTCATCACTAAACGAGTGTGTGTTTATTGATTATTAATACCCCACAGCCATGCAAAAGGTATTTTACACTAGTGCTTGTAGTGATTTTACTCAACCAGGTGTGTCAGAGGGGTTGAGGTTGTTCTTTGAGACGAAACACATCAGAAGGAACCCAAAATTACCAAATGGCTCCTTCTGGGATGGCACGACAAGGAATTTAACAAACATGTATACAGTAAATATAAAAAGCTATAAGGGCCTTTCATACATCAGACCCTATAGCTGAAAGCTGCACTGTGCAAATAACAATTCATATGCCAACACCTGCAATGATTTTAGTATGATGGTGTATCATCAATCTAAATCTGACAAGTATAAAATAGCTGAGAAATATAGGAAACGTTATTCCGTTGAGTTAGCAAACTACCATCCAAATGCTTGACAGATTCCATTTGCAGTTTGACTCCATTTGAGTCCATATTTCCCTGTAAATCTTTCCTGAAGCTTTTAAATTAAATGTATCTGGAATAGACAGGAGTTGACATAAAAAGATACAGTTCCCCATCAATAAGATTTCTTTCTATAGGCCATTGCTCCAGTTTTCTTTGGCCAGTGTTTGTAAAAAAAAAAAGGCTTATGATTTATAAGGTGGCCTTCATCAGAAATCTATGTTGAGCCCACATAGTGGTGTTCACAGTGACATAAAATAAAATACTTAAGGGCATATTTCTTTTCCTTATTTTATTAACACTATTGCTTCCAAAACAAAGAAAAAATAATTAATAGTGTATATGCAAGTTAGACAGGGCTGGCTGCAATGCATGTGGTTATCATTAGTGGAGGTCCGGGGGCTAGAAATCCTTCCCCACCATAATAGAGGACATGCTGAAAGACACCAATGAAAATAAGACTGATGAATATGTATAAATTTCAGTTTTCATCTATCTTAAAATAATCATTTCAGGGTGTGCATAGCATACAGTATAAACATATTGCGAATTTGTTGTTCCTTAAAGTAGAACTAAAATCTAATGGAATAGGCTAACATGTTTTATAACAACACTTCTAGGTATTCTGCAAAGTATACTATTCAATCCCTCCCCCTTGCTTTTTGCAGGTATGTCAGTTGAGCCTACTCCTACGATCCCCTCTTTTCTCCCATCCTTGTAATATGAAAATCCCCGCACAATTCACATGCTCTTTAAATGGTGGCAGATTCATTTTATATTTCTTTGTGTCTCATATTGCTCAAAAGTATAGCTATTTGATAGGGATATTATTATTATACAGGATTTATATAGCGCCAACAGTTTTGCTCAGCGCTTTACAATATAGCGGGAGACAATACAGCAACAGTACAGTTCAATACAAGAGGGACAGGAGGGACCTGCTCCTTGGAGCTTACAATCTAGGAGGGATATAAAATAAGGCTTGAAAAAATATCTGTTTACAGGGTTTTACAGCCAATTTAAACTTAACAAATCTAATTTTAACAAAAAGAGATTGCATGTAATATTTCTGTATGTGATCTGAACATTTTCATCAGATAGTCCTAGATTGTAAGCTCGAAAGAGCAGGGCCCTCGAACCCCTCGTGTATTGTATTGCTACTGTCTTGTCTCATGTTCTGTCCCCCTTGCTACTGTACAGCGCTGAGCAAACCCTTTGGCGCTATATAAATACTGTATATAATAATAATAATAATAATAATAGTTATCATTTGGCATTTTAGCTCTTCATTGGGCAGTGTTCAAATCTAGTTTATAACTGATGATGAGATCTGCCAGCACAGAAAAGACAGGGGTAACTATGGAAAAACACAGCTCCCCAGTCCGCATAAACAAAGGGATCTAGTAGGATATTTCAGTGCTGGAGTTTCAAGAAAAAAAAATCTAAAAAAAGATAATTTGTGATTTTAAAATATTTTTCTATATGCCATGTGAATAGGAAAATGTAACAAATACAAAATACAGTAGGTGACAGCATATGAAAAGAAGGACCACTCAAAAACTTCCTGCCCATACTCCTGTTGGCTCTCCCCATGCTCTGGGTGCTGGCCGCACCAGGAGAATGTCTCGCTCCATTCATCCACTGCAATGATGAGCCCACATCCTCTGGTAAACATAAAGGCTTCAGCTTTAGCCCCTGCATCTTGGCCTCAACCCTCTTCGACTAAGCCCAGTCTGGGTAAAATGCATCAGAGAGACATGTCCAAGATGCGGGGACTGTATCTGAATCTTGTATGTTCACCAGAGGACGTGGTGGATCTATGTGAAGCGCAGTCCTGGACTGCAGTAAATATAAAGCTATAGGCTCTGGCTAGAGTTCCACTTCAAGCTATTTTATAAAAAAACTTGAACTAGAGTCTTACATTTAAAAGCATACTGGACCTTAAATATCTCAGTGATTCATGTTTTCTCTTTTCAGGAGGTATGCAGTGAACTATGGTGTTTAAGCAAAACTGGCCGCTGCATCACTAACAGCATTCCAGCTGCTGAAGGGACCATCTGTCAAACTAATACCATTGAAAAGGGGGGTAAGAAATATTACCCAGAGGGATTATAAAGAACAAGTTACAGCATAAAAAAGAATCTGATGAAAGTTGGTTGCTGATTGAAATTATGTGATCTGCAAATGTAGCACACCCAAGAGTGTGACTTAAAATTAGTGAGTAGATTTCTACACTACACTCTGGTTACTCCCCTTAAATACCACATAAATAAGCTGGTACATTTTTGGTGATATATATCCCACAAAGACTTATTGTGAGGGACACAGACAACAATAAAAAGCTGTATGTTGTTCTTGCATTCCACTACTCTACTAAAGAATCAATTTTTTCCTTTGCTGCTGTTGGAGATTTTTCCTCATTCATAAGAATAGGAAATAAAACACTTTAAAGCCACTATGACCATGTGTATTTATTTCCTATAATCAACTGCTCCATCTAGTGACCATAATGCAATATTTCTCCTAATTGATGCTGATCTTATGAAAGAGGAACACCTGACCTAAAGAGAAAATAGCCTAGTAACATTTGATATTCCCAACATTTGAATAGAACAAATGTACATGCAGTTTTGCAGGATAGCATAGCTCTCTACATTTTTATAATACATCCTTTAATCTCCCCCAGTACTGAACTAAATA